ATTAAGATGCCAAGCCTATAGTATTTTTTTATACTAGCCCACCTTAGAACCATAGTTCCTCCCCTAGAGCATAACAAATCATACAGATAAAAGTCATCCACTTGGGGGCTGGGAAGGAGGCTCAGTGGTAGAGCGCTTGCCTTGCATGCCCTGGGTTCAATTCCTCAGCACCACATAAGAAAAAAAGCCGGAAGTGGCGCTGTGGCTCAAGTGGTAGAGTGCTAGCCTTGAGCTGAAGAGCTGAGGGACAGCGCCCAGGCCCAGAGTTCAGGCCCCACAACTGGACCCCCCCCCAAAAAAAAGTCTTCCATTTGTTCAATACAATATTTTAATGGAGTAAGTTCTTGTGGATTAAAGTAAGATAAAAATGGTAATTGCTTTAGCAACTCAAAGTAAAACTACCAACACTACTAATATCTTTGACTAACTGAAAGTTTGAAATATTTATTGTAATTCAGGTTAGGTCAGTATCAAATCTTTTCCATTAAAATGTTTGGCTAATTTTATAAACAACTGACAAAAGCAAACATAATAACCTTTTAGAGAAAATAGTGCCTAAGAAATGATACCATGGTGATTGTTGTCAAGGCAAGTTCATTTACGAAGAAAGGCAAAAATCTCTTGTGGAAATATCTATTTAGCAATCAAATTTTCCTTTCAAACTGTTATTGGCCAAATTTTGCACCACATAAAATGAAAAGTCAGTTGGAGAAATAGCAAAAATTTGACAAGAATATGTAATTAGTCAATGTTTTCGAAACATGTTTTGACATAACTTAAAAGCTTAGGAAGACCAAAAAAGATACCAACTTAAGTTTTTAAATACCTAGGTTTTTTTTAAAAAAAATTTTTTTGTCGGTTGGGGGCCTGAACTTTGGGCCTGGGCACTGTCCCTCAGATCTTTAGCTCAAGGCTAGTACTCTACCACTTGAGTCACTTCCGGCTTTTTCTGCTTATCTGGTGCTGAGGAATTGAACCCAGGGCCTCATGCATGCAAGGCAAGCACTCCACCACTAACCCACCTTTCCAGCCCTAAAAAAAAATTTTTTTTACAGCACTGTGGTTTGAACTCAGGACCTCATGCTTGCTAGGCAGGTGCTCAAGCACTGAGCCATGCCTCCAGCCTCTTATGTTCAAACTGTATTATATAAGTGTGTCCAGGTTTTCTGATCACTTTTTTCTAATTAAATTATTTTCTTTCTAATTATTTCAACATTACCAGTAGAGCTTTAGTACAGATATTTATACCTATAGTTTTAGAAGTGATTTTATATACAGTATCTCATGTTTTCATAATCAACCTGTATAAAAGGTCTTATGTTTATCAAAGTTATAACTTAAGTGTGTGTGTGTGTGTGTTTGTGTGTGTGTGTGTGTGTGTGTGTGTGTGTACATGTGCTAGTCCTGGGGCTTGAACTCTTGGGTACTGTCCCTAAACGTTTTTGCTCAGAGCTTGTGTTCTACCACTTGAGTCACAGCTCCATTTCAAGTCTTTTTGTGTGTGTGTGTAAGCATGCATGTGTGATTGTGTGTGATTATTTAGAAATAAAAGTCTACAGACTTTCAAGGTCCTAACATCTCAGCCTTCTAAGTAGCTAGGATTATAGGCATAAGCCATCAGAGCCCTGATAGTAATCAAATTTTTTAAAGTTGAAGAACTTGTCTAAAGTCACACTAAGCTATAATCTACCACAAACCTGATAATCAGGCTGGAATCCAACCTTGTCAATTTGGAACCCAGGAACAGGAGATGAGAAAAGGCAACTGAGAGGTCTCTAGGGTGTAACCCAGATTGGAGACACCTTTGGGTAGAGGGGACCTGGCATGAACTCAGTACAGGTCCACTAGTGCCTCTTGACACCTTGGGGGGGGGGGGGACTACAATTTTCAATTTCATGAAGATTCATGCCTACCAGCCCTGAAAGTTAGGGATACCTAGGAATCTTCATTAACTCTAATATCTGTTCCTAGAAACTCCAGACTACTGCTCCACAGCAAATCTATCCCATGTTTCTAGAAGATGAAAACTCTGCTATGTACAACAGTCACAAGACCCCTAGCTTGAAGGAAGGAAGGGAGGGAGGGAGGGAGGGAGGGAGG